CAGCTGTGCCGTCCGGGGGTGCTGTGGAAGGCTGCTAGCTTTGAGTAAAGCGGTCGCTGAGGAAAAGAACGCCATCTGCTAATGAGGCTTTGTTATTTCAGATTTTGCCTGTGGCTCACACAAAAATACACCCTGATCAGGTACGATGCGTGTCTCTTGTTTTGTTGCTTCTCCTGCCTTTGCAAGCATGCGTGAACATCCTAATTTAGCACCCCTACTTTATGTCGAGTTCCAGACTTTCAAAAAGCCCAGACCGTTAAGTAACATTAAAGCCAACAGAAATTTCCCCTGTGGAGAGGAGCTAATGATCTTAGGGTGAAAAACTTAAATAGTATAATCTGCAGAAGTTGTGACGCAAAGCACAATTGTAGGCCATAGATTTTTTATCCAGTTAGTTTGGTAAGAAAAAATGAATTGCCCATCTGCCCAAAACATGCTTTCAGAACGCATCTGCTCTTTTTGGTAATACGTCATCACCTGGGGAAGCCACTTGCATAGTACAAGCTGAATACTGTTTTTAAAGTCAGATCAATAATAGATGTAATCACAGTAAGCAAAGGTGGAAAAAGAAGGACAGAAAACAAACCGATTCTGAAAGAAACAGGAATGCTAGGAAACAGAAGTTAAGCATTTGAGAAAGTTTACAGGGTTTTTCTATCACGATTTATTTTTCTGCTTTTAAAAACAGACCTAGACACAAATGTTTTGTCTCATTTAGTTTAGGAAACTCAAGTATGATCCATAACACTGCAAATATGTCAGATGATTTTCTTTAAGCCATTGTGGTGGTACATGCAAAATTTGCTGTGGTTAAGCCCTCCCCTTCCTCAGTGTTAATAATCATCATATGAAAACCTGTGTGATGCTTCTACTCCAGAAGTCAGTGCCAAGAAAATAAACGAGGCATTTTGTGGCCAGCCCTCCTCTGAAATGCATTCTCACAGTAACAGTGATGAGAGAGTGCGTAAATGAATCACAAGGTGAACAGAGCATTGGGAAGCCCTTTTACAGATTGAAGTGACGTCTTGGTATATCATGTGCCACTAACTATACACTTCAGCATACCTACAGGTGTCTAATAACACCAGTTTCTCTGCATGGTAGTAAAAAAAAGTTCGCTGGAAGAGAACTTCATTCTTGGCAAACATTTTCAAGAAAATCTGTTACATGACTGCATGTCCTTCCTCATTTGCAGATGTTGCTAATAATTTCATAATGTAACATTTAACTTTATCTTCCCTTTCTGGGTCTCTGGCTGTTACTTTCTGTTTCAGAAACTAGGCGAAAGTGTTCAGCAACTTCTTCTGGCAAAAATTGCAGTCTACCTGATGACCTTCTTAATAGTCACAGTGGCATGGGCAGCTCATGTAAGGTAGGAACACAGTGTTTAACTCCAAAGGTAGAGAAAAACTACTGTGTAAAAGGACAGAAGGTAACCATATGTCTGCTGCATTTCTATCTCTCTGATGTATTTCTGAATTGTCTTGTTGGATAATGTAAAAAATTCATTGTAAAGCAATGCTGCCCTAAGCAGTGAATAACGGTACTCTTAGACAACTGACACAGTGATACAGAGAAAAAACAAGCATTATATATCTTTTAGAGTTACTCTTCATTTTACTTCATATTCAAGATTGAATTCGTAATACTGAAAAAGCATGATTTTATAACTTGTGTGCTACACAAATAGAGGCACTGATGTAGTACAGCTGGCCTAAAACTTGTCTCTCTCAGTCCTCAGCAGTGCTGCTCACAAAATCAATTGTAGTGTTGCAGATGCTGCATTTTATAGAGCAGCAGACACCACCACCACCGCCTGTGTCTTGCTAGTTAAAAAGAAGTTGGTATGCAGGCATCATACTGGAATCAAGGCAGTTTTTGTTTGAATTTTTAAATTTACAAATGTTTCTATATTCTTTCCTGAAGTAAGTGGATTGACCGCATTCTAATAGCGGTGTGCAACTTGTAATTCAATACTTGAAGCTGATACTTCACAGCAGTGCTTATATCACATTGCTTTTCTTTGCTTGCATGAGTAAATGCTGAGATGTAGTCTTTGAACAATTTAGGAGTTTGTGGAGGGTGATTAGTTCTGTTGATTCTAAGTGGCACTTCTGTAGATCAGGAATTTCATTAACAAGGTGTGGGGCACTTTGGAAGAAAAGCTTATTTTCTTTGTGTAATAAAAACAACTATTCTCTATCTTCATGAAAAATAATTTGAAGCCTTAAAATTCTGAAAATACTCTGGCCCTAACAGCATGAGCTTGTCTCTGTTCTCCCAAGTAAAACTCAGAGAAAATCAGAATAATAGCTCTTCACGACAGCTTATGAGACAAATTGAAATCTGAGACTCTGGATGGACTCTGAATATCTGGATCTGCTCTAGAAGATCTGTGCAGTGCTACTGCAGGGCTCGGATCCCTGCACAACATTGCTTCATCTGACAAGCTAAAAGTCAGTCTGGTGCCTATATTTTTATTTTGGCATCAGAGTGTCATGTTCTTAGGTGAGCAGTGCCTGCTGGTGAAAGTCTGGCTTTGTTCATGCTTCAGAAGCATTTGCTTGAGCAGTGAGCACAGGTTGTCGGTCTCCAGTTAGTTCTGGGCCTTGCCTCTGTTTGACTAAATGGGTGATTAATTGACAGCTAGTGATAGTTGTCCTGTGTCTCCCAAGCCTCGTGCAGCTCAGTAGCAATTTGCTGGCTGCCCTGTCCCAGGTGTGTCACATGGCAAAAGGTAGAGCTGTTCTGCAGCAAAAGTGCTGTGGGAGGAAGCAAACCAGTAGCCTGCCCTGTGACTTGGCTGCAGTTCATCCAATAGTGAAGTGGCAAATCCTCCAGAGAATCGTCATCAACTCCTGCTTCTGGGTCAACCCCACTTCATCCATTTTCGAAGGAATTATATATCCATTTGTAGTTCATTGCCTTGTTAGGTTTCTGGTGTATGACTCAATGGGTCAGAACTGACATCTGGATCACTTTGTCACAGATGAATTGGCTGTTAATAACAGTGAAATGTACTTCAAAGTAAATACATAATTTCAAGTGTAGAGGAAGGAAGGTGTAAGGCAGGGGGGAAAAAAAAAGCCAGTTTGTTACATCGTATGCCGCTTGGTCTTCAAATAGAAACGAGGATCTTAGTAACTGCTCCATGATGGAACTTGACTGTTTGTATCTCACTTTTCAAATCTTTCTAGCAAATTACTTCTGTGTTTGAGCTAATGAGTTTCGGTGGTACCTGGGCTACTTGCATAAATTCCGGAGCAAAGGCAATCAGGTTCTCCTACAATATCGTGAAGGCATAATTTGTATACAATATGTTGTAAAACATATTTGGAGAGCTGGCTTGTTCATATCTTGCCTTGCCTTGACAGGTTGTTTCAGGTGATAGAGTTTATAGATGATGTCCTTGCTCTTCTGAATCTGGTGAGTCTTGTCAGACATGCTGGATGCTGAGCTAGCAAGTACAGGTCACTTTTTCTTAAGTCTGTATGTACATATCCAAAAGTTCCTAATTCAAATAGCACAACTGCCAAATTTCCCAGTGAGGAAGATACAAAGAGCTTGAATTCCTCCTTGCCAAAGCAGCTGATTGGTAACTAACTTGCTTTTAATTTCTACATGTTTTGCTATAAGCCAAAGAAGCTCTGCAACAGGTTAGTCTGAAGTTGATCTGAGGGAACTGAAGAGGCATCTGTTGCAAAAGCTTTTGACTGTTCATCTGTGTCCCGCTGAAGTATCTGTCCTCCAGGCTTAAGAAATTGAAATGCTACGTCTTTTGTGGCAAAAAAATCTGAGCAGTAGGGTTGAATTACAGTTATGTTTTCAGTCATTTCGCCATTTCACTTGCTCAGAAATTAATTCTGAAGCTCATTTGAAACAGAAGATTATATGATCTTCCAAAAACTACCACTGAGAGACCAATCTCTGAATCAGTGTTTTAAGCTTTACACTTGCCTAAATCTTCTCTCTTAAAAATTCTTCATTTATTTAAGTGTGTTTTTAAACAAGCCACCCTGTAGTATCTTGGTTACTAATAGTTGTAATGGGATGCTGCAATGGTGAACATATTCTTGCTTTCAGCTAGAGCTTTTTATTTTGCTATATTGTTTAAAATTCTGTTCTCTGACATTGTGCAACTACACAGCTAATTTAGTTTTATTAATATTAATACTGAGTTTAAACTCCAGGATATAACACTACAGGAAATTATGTTGGAGGACTAGCTTAAGGTATGGAATTCTTACCTAGTGTAGCCTTCAGAGCAATGCATTTCTTTGTGCTTGGGGTGGGTTTTTTTTTTTATTTGACTTTTTTATATATGAAATATTTGTCATCAGAGATTAATGTTTTAACAAACAGAAACACCTCTTTAGGAGGTGTGATACTTTTGGCATAGCTACTTTAGAAACAAGTCTGTTAAGAACCACAGCAAAACTTTTACCTGTGGCATTGGTAACGAAACTGTAGTGTTTTCTACAATAAACCTGTACTGTTTGGATAGCAAACATGGAAGATGTGCACAGAATTAACCATTTGTTACAGCAGCTTCAAAAATGTGGGGTTTTTCATGGCACAGCATGAGCATTTGATCTGTTTGTGTTGCATTCTCTGGACACATCTTTAATGAGGGAATTGCTTTGTATTTTACCTAGGGTTTCAGTATGCTTTTTTTCTTTTTTTAGGCTTGTATGATGATCATAACTTTCTTGCCATACACAGTAAGTCCTTTTCTAAAATTTGACATATGTTTAAATTACAGAGAATTCTTCCTTACTTATTTGGGAATACTTTACCAAAGTATTCAGAAACCCAGCAAACTGCTCTTATGGTATAAAACCTGAATCCATTGTACTAGTTAAGCCTTACTTTTTTAAAATTCATGAGGACATGTTATAATCTTCAATTACTGCATGTTATAGACGTGGCAGAAAATAAGTATTCTAGAAGAAAAAACATAATCATGGAAAGTCATAGTTTTCCATGATTTCTTTTAGAAAAGCAGCTGCATTGAAAAATGTCGAAGTTGTGTGATGAGAATTTTGCATTTTGTAAGGGAAGTAAAGCTGTGTTTCAAATTGCTTTTTGGATGATAGAACATTTTCGTTTTGTAATCTAGACAGATTTTTTTGGTATGGCTTTTGACTTTACTTAGCAATGTTTATTCTGGCAGCCAATCATTCATATTTTAAATCTGCAAATTTTATGTTCTGCACAATTTCTGGTCAGATGTCCGTTAGACCTAGCAAGAATATTTGCAGCTGAACACCATATTAGCAGAACAAAACAGTTGCTTAAAATGCATGTTGATTTTTATTGTATGTGTAGAACAGATTTATATGACAGGCACCTGTTTCTCTGTGGATATATCTGTTATATATTAGCCTGCAAAGAATAAGGCTGTGGTCAGCAAAACAATCTTTATCAGCAAGAACGTGTAATTCTTACTTTGCCTTGAAGCTGAAGTAACTTTTGGAAAGTTGTCAGTGTCACCCTAATACTACTCCCTGCTTTTCCCCCCCGCAGTGAAGCTGCAGAAATGAATACAGCAGGGAGTCATGCAGGGCAGGTAGAGAAATTAAAAGGTTCAAAAAAGTACCCTGATATCAAGAATTTTCACAGCTGTGAACATCTTGTCCACTGAAAACACTGTTAAACTTTATGCTCAGGTACAAGCCAGTCCGTAGTTATTATGGAGACATAGTGTGAGAGAGGTTAAGGTTTTGCAGTATCAGCATGAGACCAAAGCCATCTCTCCAGATGCCTTTGGTTGGGATGCCTGCATGCATTTGTCGCTAGAAATTGCATTTAGTGGAATTATTTTGAATTGCAAAATATTATTCAGGTTTTTAAGTTTCAGTACTGAATGAAGAGTGCTTGTGTTTCTCCGCTGTTACTTCTACATTGCTTCTTAATTAAATATTTGATCTAGTTGTGGTTTTTTTCTAGTTTTCCTTAATGGCCTCCTTTCCAGAGGTACCTTTTGGCATTTTCCTCTTCAGTGTCTGTGCTGTTATCATTGGCCTTATACAGGTATTGGAGCTATCCGTTTACATTTTCCCTTTTAAATAGATTTTCTTGGGCAGAACTAAAATTACATTTTTTAACTATGGGTTTAAATTGCTAAATGCTTTTTTTGTTCGTATAGCATTCTTTTTCAAAGTTATGCCTGTTGTGACAATATAGTATCTGCATATAAGACAAAAGTTTGCATGGCCACTGTCCTGTGAAGCTGATTTATGCAAATAAACCAGCAGATCTCAAAGTCCACAGAACAGTAATTCCTTTCCCACTCTTTAAAATGCCTTGGGGAAATGGCAGTTGACTTTTCCTGCTGGGGTTCTTACTGAGCCGTGCAGCTATGGCTGAGTGAGCATGGGCTTTCAGCCGCCATCCAGCAGCATTGGTTTTCTCCTGGTGTAGTGCCTTGTTGCTTTCTGCTCCTTACTTGTGGAGGTCTTCATTCTTCTTCATATAAGAACTATGGTCGTTACAAGTTCTGCAAAGGAGACTACAATCTTGACGTGCAATGTGTTGTGAAATCTCAGAGTTTCTAAGATCAGCCCTCCATATTGTAGTGAAGAATAAGGTTGAAGGTGTTTTGGAATTTGTTGATTTATAGTTTTACAGTTTTATATTTGAATTGCTGCATATACTTGTATGTAATAACTTCAGTAATGCTCTTCTTGCAGGCTGTGATAGTAGCATATGGATTCTATCACCCAGACTTACTGAATCAACAGATACAGGTGTCTGAAAATCAGAATTTCTACAAACGTCATATCTTAAAGATTATTCTAAGAGGACCAGCTTTATGCTTTTTAGCAGCCATCTTTTCTTTTTTCTTTATTCCTTTGGTAAGTTCTCCCAGTTAACTGAAAACTGATGCAGCAGTTTATATTAGTTGTATTTAGGACTGTGTATTAAAATTATGATGTCATGTTAAATATGGAGACTTTTGCAGTTGCCAGTTCTGTGGTGTTGTAATCATGGCTGCTATTTTGCATTGAAGGTGTTCAGTTGACAGATACAATCTGTAATTTGATCTGTGAGTTTGTACAGTTTTGAAAGAATACCCTGCTAGAATATTTGCTTTGTTTGCTCTGCCCAAATTTTTTTTAACGCTTCTCTTAATTAGAAGCAGGTCTTCTAAACTGTAACTTAGCATCTTGCTCATCATTAAAGTAGGTGAGATCATGTCGAAGGTGACGTGAAATAAACGTTACATTGCACAAACTGAAGACAAGTGAATGTAATTGGTGCACTGACTCCAAGCTATAAGAGCAAATAGAATAAGCAGACCAGTCAGCCAACCTGCGTCTCAAAGCAAACGCTTTTGGCTAAGGCCTTTTTCTCTGCCATCTTTATTAAATGGAAATTAGTTGCTCCTACTTATTAATAGCTTTTATCTTTCTCAGAACCCCTGCTCGGAAGTTAAATCTAGTTTTTGGATGTATCCTGAGCTTTCTTTCCTCTGTCGCGTTCTTCAGGAAAAGGTGGATTTAACTGAATTCTGAGAAGGATTCCATGGGAATTAGCAGTGTTTAAATAATCACCAAATACGGGAGGAATCAGGTTGCTGCTGATAAAAGGGACAGTTGTGAGTCCAAACATGAAAAGGCCTAATTTTAACTGAAAATATGTTTTCCTCTTACGCACTTAATTCCCTCTTCTCCCTCGCCTTGTTCTCTAGTGTATTTTCTTTCAATAACAGTGAAATTACTCTCCAAGTTGCTGTTGTGCTTAGATCTGTGCAAAGCCTGTGAACTACTTATGACCCACTGATGCATCTTTGGGACACAAGTAGTAGAATCATAGAATATCTCAGGCTGGAAAGGACCCAGTAAGGATCACGTGGGATAGTTCTCCAACTTCTAAAGAAGTCATTACTGCATTTTTGTTTGCAGAATTATTTCCATTCTTGTTGTAGCTTGCTTCATTACTGGTAGTAAATTAGCTATCAAAAAGCAGTATTAGGTTGCACATGCAGTGTTCAGGAGGTGCATGTGCCTTTCAGGTGTGCCTTTTCCATGTCGTAAAGTCAAGATTTGTTTTTCTCAATGTGATCATACCTAAAGATTGACAGTAATAGTTTCATACTAAACTTGGAAGGTAATTTGTATTTTGATGACTAGATTTAAACTGTGTTCATTTTCCTCTCCGTAGTCTTATGTACTTCTTGGGCTCGTAATCGTTTTTCCGCATCTCACTCGATTCATTACATGGTGTAAAACCAAGATAGTTGGTGAGTAACAATATTCATAGAAGTATGTTCAGATAAGTTATTAGGTTGTCAACATGTTATCCAAACAACCTGGAATGAAGTAATTTTAGTTCTACTTCTCAGTCTTGAAACGTAGCAATTTTGGGGTTTATTGCTGTGCTTCCAAACAGATTCTCCCTTGCTCCCTGGTTTCGATTAATTTGTGACTGGATTTTTGTTAAGGCACAACACATTCGAAGATCATTTCTGAGTGCAAAACCTCTCTGGTTTGTCCTGAATATGCATGTGCATATGGCTGCATGCCATCTATCCCTTTTCCCTCCTAAAAAAGGGAGCACGGGGACTGAAGAATATAGGAAGCAAACTCTATGAGTGTATCACTTTGTTCCTAGCAATAGCATATTTTCACAGTGGCAAGTAGAGCACCTGTAAATCAAAGTTTTTCCAGGTAATTAACAGTTTAGGGTGTTACATCTCATTAATCTAACTGTTGTGGTCTAAATATGTGCCTTCACCCATGGCTAAATCCAGGCTTCCTTCCCTCACACTCCTGGCTTATGTTCTTTCTGCCCTCCTTGTGTTAGCACTAACAATTGCACAACCACACCAACAGCCAGACCTGCTTTTAAACTCTGCTGAAAGGGAGGTTGCTAGTGCCAAAATAAAGGAGAAGGTGGGCTTGTGCAACCTACTCAGCGAAAAAGTTGAGTGTCCCTCTTTGAGAGCAATATAAACTGACCACAAAAAAACCCACTGAACAGATCATGTCTTTGGAATTGGCACTCCAGAGGTGAGTCAGAAGACTTAACACCTTTGTGCTTCTGTTGTTCAGGTTAGCACAAGTCCGTCTGTGTACACTGCAACTGGGAACATACCTTTGACTCCCGCATGTGGCAGCAGTAATAGACAGGGAGGCAGAAATGCTTTGAAACGGCTAAAGCCAGGCTCTCAGAGCAAGATAATAAGCACATACAAATACTGCCTGTGCCCACTGCGATGGAGGCACTGCAATTTGCAGTCATATTGTGTCTGTGTACATCGGACCCCGTGAGATGGCTGACATAAATTACTGCTCTTATTGACTGAGTTATGATTACACTTGATTTTCATTCAGTTCCTCTCCTTACTTCCTATGGAAGATGTAAGCTTTTTTTTCATCCAGTCTATACTCCTGAAGTGGTACAGCTTGGCTAGCTGGGCAGTTCAGAGTCCAGTCTTTAGGGATGTGTTTGACATTTTGTCTAAAAGATCCAGAGCCTGACTTTTTGACTAAAGACTGGATTTATTTTAAAGCAGGTTATTTGATGTCCCAGTGCAGCCCCCGTGCTCCAATGAGTTTTTTTCTCACATGCAGTGTAAGTTCTCTGCACTGTCTTGAAGGACCTACAGCTATTAGTGCTTCTCGATCTTGAAGGACCTACAGCTATTAGTGCTTCTCAAGGCACAGCATCTGATTTGTGTAGCTCAAATGTTTTGTTCAATTACAGCTTTGAGTCATTATTCACTTGGTGGAAATGGTCTGCCATACAGTTTAAAGGACAGGGCTTTTTTGCCCCTGAGGCACTTGTCCTGAAAGCAACATGAACTTCAGGGAGAGGCACAACTGCCGAAAAAGGTGGAGTTACTGACCTGTGTGGATGAATGGCACCCTTCTTTCTACAGAAAGATTTTGGCAGGTGGGGAGAAAGAGAAAGGGAGGTCACTGTAGGTTGTTTAACTATGTTGTTGTATACTACCTGACCTTGTCTTTGATTAGTAAACATCTGAATTTGTTTCCAGGTCAGAGAGATGAAGGGGACGAACCCCATAGCTTAGAAACCTTCACTTTTTACCTCAGTGAGCCTCTGAGTAAGGAACGGGTAGAAGCATTCAGTGATGGAGTCTATGCTATTGTAGCAACCCTGCTCATTTTGGATATATGGTAAGGCTTTGTGTTGCCTTTTACACTGTGTGTTGTTAAATACAATATTAACTTTTGTCTATATGTAATATTTGAGGAAATAAAATTGACCAAACACTGACTTCTAAAATCTGCAGTGGTTACTTTAAGTATGATTTTCTGGAAAGATACAGAATACAAACAAAAGATACTTACAATGCCCACATTTCAGCAGTAGTGATCATCAATCTAATGTATGTTGGGGTGGGGAGACTTGAAGAACAAGGCTTGTTTTTTGTTTAGTCCTGTTTTCAGATAAAAAGGCTTTTATCAACAAAAGCTGTTTAGTCACTGTGGCAACTTTATTACATTACCATAAAGAAATGCCAGCTTACTTTCAGATTTCCTTTCAGATCAAATTTATTTGCAGGACTGTTATTTGAAATGCTGTTTTTAAGTTACAAATTAGAGAACGACAGGGTGGATGCCTGTTGTTCCCTACTTGCTTAGTAAAGCAACATAGTTCAGTGTTGCTCCAGGTGTGTTTTATAACATTAACACGCAAAGTAAAGTTAAGTTTTCTCTCCACAGTGAAGACAATGTCCCTGATCCAAGAGAAGTTGAGGAGAAGTTCCATGGCAGCCTTCTTGAAGCTTTAAGTGAATATGGGCCAAATTACCTTGCCTACTTTGGCTCATTTGTAACAATTGGTCTCCTATGGTTTGTCCATCACTCACTTTTCCTTTATGTAAAAAAAGCTACACGATTAATGGGACTGCTTAACATACTTTCACTGGCTTTCATTGGTGGGCTTCCGCTGGCTTACCAGCTGACCAGTGAATTTGCAGAGAAGTCTCACAATGAAATAGAAGCCATTCAGGTCAGCTGTGTTATCACTTTCTTTGCCAGCATATTTCAGTTTGCAATATGGACTACAGCCCTCCTCCGTGAAATGGAAACTTTGCATCCTTCTGCTAGATATGGTGGCAAGGAGCATGCCTTCATGTTTGCCAAGCTGGCGCTCTACCCTTGTGTAAGCCTTGGGGCCTTCTTTCTAACATGCTTGTTAAGTGAGTTTAGCACAGCAATTTTCCATCTTATGCAGATTGTAATCCCATTTGCTTTTCTTGCCTTGCGCATTTTTGTTAGGATTTCTTTAACCGTCCTAAAGTCTGTGATGTCTCTCTCCAGACGGAAGGTTGTGTTGTTAGAAGAAGAGGAGGCATGTTTGTCACCTACTGAAACAGTCTCCTAAAATTCCACACAGTGCATGTGAAGTTATAACATTAACTTCAGTTCTTCTTACTCACATTACCTTCATGTGTGGATTATCTTGATCTCAACCGAAGCTTGCACTGGCCATTACTGGGGCATATTTAAATTTTAGCTCATCGTGCTTGAGACCCTTTCTACAAAACCCGTAACTGAAAAAATTGGGGAAATAGGGGATACAAAGAAAAGCATGTTCCCCTTCCATTAGAGTTACCCTTTTGGAAAAAATGCTGCTTGACATGTAACTGCAGTGATGAGCAATTAAGATGTGCACAAACAAATGTCCAGCAAAATGCCCTTTTTTCTAACATGGCAGTCATTATGGCAGCCAAACACAGGTACAGAAGCTGGCTGTGCTGCTGTAACGTAAGGGAGTGAGGCTTGGAAGACATGGAGACCTCTGGGTTTCGGGATGGCACATCATGGCAGAGCATTCGTGCATACAGGTTGCTGGTCTCCACCCCTTTTTTTTTTATGGTTACAGTGTCTCTTCTGCATAGTCATGAACTTGTGATAGCATTTTGAAAACTACTTGTGTTTGAGTGGCTCTGAGCGTGGGTGTAGGTGGGAGTTGCAGTTGTGACCCATATGCATTCTTCAGGTTACCTGAAGACAAGTTCTTCAGGCATACCCTTTCTTTTAAAAAAGGATGTATTTAACAAGTGAGGATTCATGTGGCTATTTCTCCAAGGTTTGAACTAGCTTTGGTATCTTCCAGGGAAGACAATGAAAGAGCTGTGGGACTAGAGGTAAATTATTTGTTTTCAGTTCTGAAGCAGCTGCTCATGTGAAATTGGAGTCTGGATTTCTCAGGCTTTTTGTGTCTGTTTTCATGCCTATTGAAAGGAGCATCCTTCCATTATTCTGAAGGCATGATGTCATATTCAGAGAGAGTGTGAGAGTTTCCTGCCACGTATGAGAGTTCCCCGTCAGGTAAGGGAGGTGAATTTTTCCCTAAGTAGAGGCTAACTAAGGGATCCCACAGATTTCTGAGGCTCAGCAAGACAGCAAAAGAAACTAACCCTGTAGAAGTTCCAGTCCATGGCATGTTGAATTTGTTTATACTTAATGTGCAGTTTGATAAGTTTTATCAAATGTTACCCTGCAGAGAGCTGTACAGAAGGAGTGGGCAAAGACATCTAGCCTCAGGCTGCCCTGGAAGCCTTTACATTTCTTTCTGGCTGAGCCATTAGTTTGCATCTTGAACTGTCCTAGTGTCTGATAACTTTAATGCCATATTTAAAGTCATTTGAGCAATTTTGTTGTTCCTCTTAAAAAAATTTAAAAACATTGTGGCAAAGTATGCCTGGAGTAATTGTTAGTGAAAACAAATTCATATACCTCGTTTCAGTTGAGGTCAGTCTTGAAAGCGCTTGTGCTTTTCGTTTGAAGCACCTTGGTACCAATATGTAATTGTCAGTATTACATACTTCTTGTGAGAGAGTATATTCAGTTATTCAAGGGATTTTATACCTGGTTGAGGTTAAATTACTTGCAGTAAGATTCTGCATTGTGTTGGGTACTGCAGGGTTTTTCTGACTTTTAAGAAAAGCACTTTTGGTTCTACATGGTTTTGTTTCTAATGTGCAGCAGACACATAATAACCAGTGAATATGTGTATTTGTAATAAATTTCAATCAGTGAAAAAACAAAGCTTCTACCCCTTTATTTCTGCTCTGCAGATGAAACTTAAATCTGACGTCTACAATTAAAATTATGTTGGACATCTTTTTATTTTTTTCCTGTCAAAATCGTCAAGGTCCCTTTCAACCTCAACCATTCTGTGATTTTGTGTCAACCCCCAAAAACTTTTAATGTGATGTAAAGAGATGTTAATTCTACTTCTGTTGGTATTTGAAGAAAATGAGACCTGAAACTGAATCTGACCAAGGAGTTTCATTCCAGTGTTTTACAGGGATGCTTTGGAGAGCAGTGCATTGTAATGTATAAATACTACAAGAAACTGTATTGGTTAAGTAATGCATTTTTCCTTTTGTTTTAACCCACTTCCAAGTAAGTAATTTGTTCTGCAGAAAGAACTTTTTTTTTTTTCCTTGTAGTCAAGATACCATTATTCAAACCAAATTTAGTAATATCTCAGAACATAAACTTGAGGGCAAACTTGACCAGAGATTTTGTATAAATGGAGCTGGTTTAAGATCATTCTGATAGTTTCTCCAGAACTTACCAAAACAAACTGCATTTCAGAACAAGGCATTAATGTGAATTGTGTGAATCTGAAGTAGAACGAACCTTCCCAAATCTAACTGTAACTAGCTGTTCTTCACAGAATTACTAATGACCACAGGTTTTTGTCTCTAGAAACATTAAAATGAAACACTTACAATAATTGTAATAATCCCAGAATCACAGAGGTGAGGTTGGAAGGGACCTCTGGAGACTGCCTAGTTCAACCTTGCTGTTTAAATTACGGTCCGCTAGAGCTGGTTGCTAACGACTGTGTCCAGTCAGACTTCGAGCGTCGGTACAGATGGAGACACCACATCCACTCAACAGGTCAACCTGTTTGAATGTCCAGTCGCCCATAGGGTAAAAAACGGGGTGAATTTTAGTTTTTCTTCCATTTAAAAGAAATTTCCTGAATATCCGTTTGTCTCTATTGCTTCTCATTCTGTCACTGTGCACCACTGAGAAGAGTCTGACTCAGTCTCTGCTCCTCCCCATCAGGTATTCATAAACATTGGTAACATCCCCCCGATCCTTCTCTTGCAGGCTGCGTTGTCCCAGCTCTCTCAGTCTCCCCTTGTATGAGAGATGCTCCAGTCCCTGCATTGGACCTTTGCCCTTTGGTGGACTCGCCTTAGAATGTCCACCTCTCTCTAGTACTGGGCAGGGGAGAGCTGGACAGAGCGCACTGGATACGCCCTCACCAGTCACCTCCCTTGACACGCCAGTGGCACTTTCCTAAGTCCCAGAGGCTGCTGGCCTTCTTTGCCAGAATAATAGTTTTAATTAAATAAAATCTCCCAAAAGCAAAGTAGTAAAATTGCAGTAAAACTTCACTTCTAATGGCACTGAATTGTTTTGTCTGTGGTACGGGTACTGCCAGTGAAGAACAACTGCCTGTGAAATTGGAGAGGTCAGGTGGGACAAAATGTGGTCATGCATGGGAGGCTGAGAAGTCCCCTGTCTCTCAGTTCACAGCTATGATTCCATAATGATGTTTGTTCTGTTTTTTCATACTGGTTGGCCTTGTTAATGGATTAATATTCAAGATAACCCTTTCGAGGCATTGAAAGATTATAACAGCCACTGGCAGCACTGTCATCTCTGCCTTCTATAACAATTAGTGCTAGTTGAAAGATGCAGTTTCAGTTTGGAGCCTTCAGAACAATGATGAGCGTACAGAGCTCTTAATTTAGAAGTTGTAGCTGAAGTTCTTTGCAGAGGCAGGATTTGTGTTTAAGCACTGTAAACATTGTAAATGGTTTTGACTTTTTAAAATTTTATTTGAAAAGAACTGAGGGCAAATAATTCCCTTACAACTTATCCGGAAGCTTTTTCTTACAACGATTCAAACTTCCGTATAAGTTTGGAGCAGACATAGTCAAAGCTATTGTTTGGCATCTGATAAGCCAAGCACACCTCTTGCGACTGGATTTTTCAGTAAAATAAAGTCAGTCACCAGGAATTTTGGACTTGCTCAGTTTGATTTTTTCAGCGTAAGGGTACTTGACAGTGGTGTGCAAAGCTTAAATTCACTGTAGGAACTTGGCTTGCAGCCTGCAGCTTGGTAACCTGTGGGGTTACTCACGACAGAGTCAGGTAACTGTGACCTGTTTGTTTGCTGCTGGTGAATGGGGCACAAAGATAAATGTTTTTTTGTGGCGAGAGGAAAACACACAGCTCTCTTTCAATGCTTACTTGAGATCACACACAGAGAAGAAAAGGAGTAAATGGCACCATGTAGTTATCTGCAATAAAATCTCTAATGTGTGTGATGGTGTAGCATCATGACTTGTAGTCTGAGTTGCCTGCTGCATGAGTAAGGGAGGACCAGAACATCTGTTCTCGGTGTCATCAAAATAAATGAAGAGCAGTAGTGATTTGGGAACTTTTAACATATGGGACTTCTTTCTGTTTTTTAAAAGTAATTTGCATTTAGCACCCACATTGATGTGAGTGACAAAACCAAGTCAGCGCTGAATTTGCTACCTGGGTCATCAGGTGGCGTTTCACGCTGGTGGCACACAGAAAATGCCAGTCAGATGGCTGACGAAAGTCAGATGTATCTCGAAAGAAGTGATGTGGTAATTCAAGACCATCAAATTTGCAACTTTTGTTCTTTCTAGTAACAAGATGAAAAACACTTCTGGCTAATATATGATCTACCTGAAGTGTTTGCTTTTAAAGCTGGTGCACTAGCACCTTAAGAAATGCCAGGCTGGGTTCTAGTTCTGCAAGTACCGGTCTCCAAGTCAGCGTGGGTCCTCTTCGCAGAAGCCTCCTAGGTACAGCACTGCTGCTTTCTGTTTGGGAGATTTATAACGTTTAATGAAGATCACGCCGCTGTCAGGCATTTAAGGATTTTAAAACTCTATCTGGAGATGCGTCGGACAAAAGCGGCTGAACAGGCCACCGCTGTGCCACCAGCAACGCCGCTGGCTTGCTGCTGACCCGGCATCGAGCCTTGCGGCGAAGTCCTGCGGCACCAAACGCTGGCGGCGGTGTTTGGGACCGAGGCGGTGTCCCCACCCAGCAGCGACCTCCCGTTTGTGGCGCTCCAGGTGTCCCTCGGAGTACTTGCTACTGGAAGTGAATGAAGAAAAGAAACGCAAGGAAAAAAAAGCGATAGGTTACATCCATGAAAGCTCTTTCGAGTCTAGCAGACCTCGGACGCAGGCCAGTAATTAAAAAAACCCTCACGACGCTACAGATGAATGGAATCCCTGGAGAGAAAAAAACACCCCGGAGCTCTTTCAGCGGCGGAACTTCCATCACCTGTGGCG